TCAACCCCGCCTGCTGGGGGTCAGCGCGGCACCCTCGGCCGGTTCTGAAATGCCCGCTTTGCGTCTCCCGGCCAATCCCGAATCTTCCCTCGGTAGGTCCTTGCTCTCGCCGTAAAATGCCCCGGCCCGGCGCGCCCCTCTGGGGAGGACCAGCCCCTCGGCGCAGGCTCGTGGCGGTGATGCCGGACCCGGCTGCCCTCCTCATCTGGAGCCGCGCTCCCCCTTCCCTTTGCCCGGGAAGATCCCCGGCTGAAACTAGAAGCGATTCCCGCTTCGCCACGTGACGGTCCCCGCGTCGGCGACCGGGAAGCAGGTGAGCTGCCGCCGCCTCCAACCTCCACGCGGGAGGGGACCGTGGCTGCGGCGCAAAGGGCCAGAGAGCTGGGCTCGCCCTCAGCGGACACTGCCCGGCGAACAGAGTGATGAATAAATGAGTAGCCACATCAATATTTAAGTGTTCGCTCCGAGCGCTGGAGCTCAGCCGTCACGAGCTGGGGGAGATTATAGGCTCTGGTGGAGGGGGTAAACTATTACTTTCACCCCGTAAGCGCCTACTATGTGCAAAGCCCTACTTGCCCGCGTGGCTTATTATTAATAATGATAACAATTGTTCATAATTACAGATGCTGAATTCTAGCCAGTATTAGTTTGTGCTCTTTATATTCATTACCTCATTTTGGAGTAACCTGGTGGGTAAATATAATTTTTATCCCTGTTTTTCCAGAAGATAAAATTGCAATTTAGAGAGGTCATGCTGCCCAAGATCCTTAACTGGCTGAGGAAGGATTTGAATTCACAGAGATGACTCCAAAGCCTGAACTTTTTTTTACTTTCAGAGCCTGTACTAAAAAAAAAAAAAAATGTAATGCAACACACACATATACAGCTTTTTAAAAATCAAATAGGACAGAAGTGCATATGATGAAAGCAAAAACTCCCTCTCCACCCCTGGAATCAGGGATAGCACTTACAGCCATTTGTGCATAGGTCTTGTGGTTACCTCCATATCTTTATATAAAATGCTTACATAGCTATATTTGGATTGATCAGGACTGGCCATTACTGTCTTCTTGCTATGATGGATAACGATTTAATGCTCTCACACTCACTTCCCTTTCTCAGTCTTGTATAGTTAAGCTATTGTTTTCAGTTCCTCTATGGAATACCTTTTTACTGGAAACCTTTATTTCTTCTCGGGGAGACTCTCCACCGTACTGCTTGACTTCCTATGCTGTGAGCGGAAGACGCCAAAATCCCCACTCTGCAGGCCATGTCCTCCACCAGGAATATGGGTGTAGGCAACCAGTACAGGAGACCTATGGGAGCACAGCTGCCACAGGCCCAATCCTGACAACCTCCCACCTTAACTCTATGATCATGTGACTGGGGTGGAGGAGTCCTTGACACTGAGCCCCACTCCAGAATCCCTGTGCACAGCACCTCGCTTTGGAGACAGTCAGATCTGCCTATGGATCTTGGCTCTCTGCCATTTAGCAGCAATGAGACCTGAAGTTTGAGCCAGCTCTTGTCTCTCTTGGCCTCATGTCCTCATCAAGAAAATGGGGACAATGATTCCTAATTCAAACATGAGGAAATGTTGTCAAAGATTGTAATGCAGTGGAGATGGTCACAAACGATCTGCAGGCACCTGCACAACATATACAGCCTTTTTTCCTGATTCTAAAAGTAACTTGGAAAATACAGAAAATATAAAGAAGAAAATAAAAATAAATCATAACTGCACTATCCAGAAATAAAAACTGTTAAAAAACTTATTGTATTTCTTTCCAGTCTTTTCTCTACACTATATGTTGTTGTTTTTTATATATATTACTAGGGGCCCTGTGCATGAAATTCATGCATGGGTAGGGTCCCTAGGCCTGGCTGGCGGTCAGGGCCTATTGAGGCCTTCCGGCTGCTGACTGGGGCCTTCTTTCCCCAGCTGCCAGCTACCGGCTGGGGCCTTCCCTCATTCCATGCCACCCCCTGGTGGTCAGCGCATGTCATAGCAAGTAATCGGTCTCCTGGTCGAACTCCTGCGGGGACAATTTGCATATTAGGCTTTTATATATATAGACTAATGGCCCGTTGCACGAAGATTTGCGCAATAGGCCTTCCTTCCCCTGGCTGCCGGCTCCAGTTTTCCTCCGGCACCCAGGACTCAGGCCTTTGGTCCGGCCCCAGCAGCGAGGCTTGGCTTCTCTGCGCCGGCTGCCCCCAGCCCCTCCTTTTTTTTTTTTTTTTCCAGCTCCTGTGAGGCAACTGTAGTATAATGGCTAAACCTGTGGGCTTTGGCATCCTGGTTCTACCATTTATATGTATTATCTCGTTTACCCCAAGAGACAACCATTTAAGGCAGGTGGGATTGCTACCCTCAGTTTTACTGATGAGAAAACTAAAGCAGAGAGAGATTGAGTAATTTTCCCCAAGTTTCCAACTGGAAAATTGCAGAGACTGGACTTGAACTCAGTTCAAGTGATTCTACTGCCTGTGGTAATTTGCCCCCATACTAGGCTGTTGGTCACCTGAGCCCTACATCCATTTGAAGCTAAGCATGAACTATTTTCATACCCATTTTACAGATAAAGATATTGAGATATAAAAAGGGGTTAAACAGACTTACCTGAGGTCACAGAGTCAGGATGAAACCCCCCACTTTAAGAATAGATTTCCCACCCTGGCCAGTGTTGCTCAGTGATTAGAGCATAGGCTTGCGCATTGGAGGGTCAAGGTTTTGATTCCAGGTTAAGGGCACTTACCTGGGTTGCAGGTCTGATCTCCACCCCTGGTTGGGGAGCATGTAGGAGGCGACCAATCGATGTGTCTCTGTCACATGGATGTTTCTCTCTCTTTCTCTCCCTCCCCCCTCTTTTCCCCTCCCCTTTCCCTTCCACTCTCTAGAATCAATGGAAAAAATATCCTCACTCCTCAAATGAGGATTTAAAAAAAACAAAAAGAGTGGATTCCCCAAGGGCTTTGTAAATGAAGATACCTTTGCCAAACTACAACTAAAATATATTTGTCACTCTCCTTTGACTTGTCACTCTCTGTTTCATCTGTTTCCTAGCTCTCCAAACTGCCTGGACTGCCTTCTCCCACCTGCCTCCCTCCTCATCTCATGGAGTAACAAGGCTCGAGGAAAGGGCAAAGAGAACCCAGATGGGCTCCTCCAGCTCTCCCTCCTCCTGCCTGGCCCACGCAGTTCAGCAAGCTCAGGCTTCTTGCTGGCCCGGATTGGGGCTGTGGGAGGGCACTGAAGTCAGGCAGGGCTACCCTGCTGGTCACTTGGCCCAGGAGGAAAGGGCGGGGTCTGCTAGCTGTCTTCAGGGGGAAAATGAGCAGAAACTACCAAGACATTGACTTGGCCGCCTAGAGGTGTGTCTCCCTCTCTAGAAGATGAGACCACCAACCCCTTCCACCCAGACACCCCCCTGCCGGGAGGGTTAGAGGACCCCCTGGGTGTGCTCATGCCTTCCTGGTTGTCTCCAATATTCAGACCTTCTAAACTTAAACTTTTTATCTATCTATCTATCTATTTATTTATTTATTTTAAAAATATATTTTTATTGATTTCAGAAAGGGATAGAAACATCAATGATGAGAATCGTTGATTGGCTGCCTCTTGCACGCCCCCTACTGGGGATCGAGCCCGCAACCCGGGCATGTGACCTTGACGGGAATCCAACCCGGGACCCTTCAGTCCGCAGGCCGACCCTCTGACCAGTGAGCCAAACCAGCTAGGGCAATAAACTTAAACTTTTTAATTTGAACATAGGATGTTGGGTGGAGACAGAAAGCCCATAAATACTGATTGTGTGAAGTTGCCATTAAAAACCTTTTAGGAGGACAGATCCTGGTAACTCAGAAGATGACCCTTGTTTCTGCTGGACACCTGGATGTCCCTCAGCTTGGATTTGTCTGATGTTTTTGTCTTGATTAGCAAGTGGCTCTGAGTTCTTAGAAAGGCACAAACGTGAAGGGCCCTTCTTGTTGCATGGTCGGGGGTACATGCTTCTCAATATGAGTTATCACCAGGGACGTTCATCTAGATTTCTTGATTAAGGTAACGTCTGCCAAGTTTTGGCATTGTAAAAATCACTATTTTTCATATTCTGTTCTTTGAAGGCGAGGCTCTGAGTCCAACCACACTCAAGAGAGTGGAATTAAGCTCCACTTCTTGGAGGGGGCAGAAATAACATGTATGATTTAGAATTTTTCCATAAGGAATATTTTTCTCTTCTCCTCATTTACCTTAGTTATTCACTCAACCATTTATTGATAGCACTATAAACTCCTGGGTATTTATGTTATTTTATAGATTATAATCCAATACTATTGTGATTTATTTTGTGGCTCAAACTGTTCCAGCTCTGGCCTTTTGGAGTTCTGTCCTCTAATCTCTCCTACCTGCCCCTCCCTCCTGGATTGCTAGATGGCACCAGTGTTGTTTATTTTCCTGAGGACTTCCTTACTTTCTAGCATTACAAAATGATGTAGGCTCACTTTATACGTCCCCTGCCCTGCTCCTAGAATCAGCCATTTCTCCAAGGAGCCTGGTTCTTTTCACTGGAGAATGATATTTAGGAACTATGATCTGGGTCCTGGGTGTGCTCGTTGCTATTGTTGTATTTACTCATTGTTTAAAATGTGCCTTTCAACTTTCTATGTACCTCTTCTAGTTATTTTGCCTTGCAATTTATATTTTGAAAAAACTGGATTGTTTGTCCTGTGGTCTGTATTTTGCTGGTTACATCCCTGCGTTGTTGTTTAACATTGTTCTCTGTCCCACATAGTTCCTAAAAACTTCTAGTTGGATCTAGAGACTTGATCAGATTCTGGTTAGATTTTTGATGAACTGACTCTAAAGTATAGTCAAATATAGATTTAGAGAGTGACAAATTCTCACAGTAAGTGACGCCTGGGTACCAGGCAGGTGTTGTAATGCTGCAATCATTAAAACAATGTGGGGTGGAGCCAGAAGGAGACAAAAAGAGTCAGCAGCAAACAGAACAGAAGGTCTGGAAATAATCCTACACACGCCTAAGAATTTCATCTCTGATAAAGATGGTATTTCACACATGTAGGAAAAGGGCGAGTTTACTTTTCATTTGTAAAAAAACACAGTAGTAATAAATATTAAATATAGAGTTCCAACTCATTAAAAATGTCAGATTAAAGATCTAAATAAGCATAAACCCCACTGACGTAACAGAATAAAATACGGGAGTCTATTTTTTATACTGGGGGTTCTATCTCAAGTGTTCAAAGAATTTGAATAAAGAGTTCACAGGGTACTGCAAAGGGCAATTAACCATATGAAAATATGCTGAACCTCACTACAAGTTTTAAGCCACAAATTAGTACAATAGTGATAGCCAGTGTAGGGGGCAAAAGGGCACCCTTGCAATTCAGCAATATCTATCAACAATTTAAAATGGGTCATCCCTTGCCCTAACCGGTTTGGCTCAGCGGATAGAGCTTCGGCCTGCGTACTGAAGGGTCCCGGGTTCCATTCCGGTCAGGGGCATGTACCTTGGTTGCGGGCACATCCCCGGCGGGGGGTGTGCAGGAGGCAGCTGATCGATGTTTCTCTCTCATCGATGTTTCTAACTCTCTATCCCTCTCCCTTCCTCTCTGTAAAAAATCAATAAAATATATATATTTTGGGGAGCATGTAGGAGGCAACCAATATATATATATATATTTTTTATTGATTTTTTACAGAGAGGAAGGGAGAGGGATAGAGAGTTAGAAACATCGATGAGAGAGAAACATCGATCAGCTGCCTCCTGCACACCCCCTACTGGGGATGTGCCCGAAACCAAGGTACATGCCCTTGACTGGAATC